AATAGGTATGAATTTTAATTCCTCTAGTTATGGATTATGGATTTTATTTATTTGTTGCTTATCTTTTATTTGTCAAGTGTTTTTTTTTTTTTTACAAAACTTAATACTCTTTTTTTTTTTTTCCAATTTTTTCTCATTTTTATAAATCTATGAAGATGTGGAAACTCCTTAGGCTTATTCCTAATCCATATCTCAAGGCTTACACATTGTCCCCAGAGAAATGGTGTGCTTTTGCCATTTAGGGTCCGTTTGATTGCGAGGATAAAAAATGGGTGGAAAGAAAACGAATTTCAAGGAAAGTAATTGCCTAAAAATTGTTTTCCAGAGAATTGTTAATTAAATATATTTGATTGGTATAATTTTCCATCTTGAAATTTTGTATTTGTTTGGCCTTCATTTGTATCAAAATTGTCCATTAAAGTGATAATTCTTTCCACACTTGATTATAGAATTTGTTTCTATTGCCAAAAAGTAAAAAAACAAAAAAAAAACAAAAAAAAAAATGTTTCCTAAAAAATCATTTTTTTAATCAAAATTTATTGTTTGTTTGGCTTTCGTTTGCATCAAAATTGTCCATGAAAGTGAATTTTTTTTTACACTTGGTTATGAAATTTGTTTTCATTACTAAAAAAAAAAAAAAATACGTGCAGTCAACTGGATATTTTCCCCAAAAACCATGAAAATGGGCTCGTGAGCCTTGGGGAGAGAAAATATTTTCCAAGCAATTTTTGGCACATCAAACAACACATTTGGTGGGAAATGGAAAAGAAACTTGAAGTTCCAAGGAATTTAATGCATATCAAACATAGCCTTAGTGATTTCAACCTTGATTCTTTCTCCAATTCGTTCCATCACATTACTTACCTCAATCTCGTTAATTAAAATGTTTTTCTGCAAATGTTTGACAGAAAGAAAAGGTTGTTTAATTTTAATTCCCTTATCACATTTTCCCTTAGAAGATGGCTGGTAAAGACTAATATATTATCTCCGTCCTAATATATCTCATAAACGTAGAAGTGATAGTGACATATTAATTTTATATCTTCCTTCCAATTTGCTTTTCCATTGATCGAGTCTTGATTACTTAGATGGTCCTTTGCCGGTTGCTGACTTGATATGCTGCTGGTTGAATTAAGAAAATAACAAGAATTAAGATGATTAGCATTTCAATTTGAAGAAAACAACAAGAATTAAGGAGATTAGCATTTTAATTTTCAATTTTTCACCCATTAGCATTTCCAGTAATTCTTGTTGTTTTCTTGTAACGGTTGTAAGGGTTTGAGATTGTGAAGTTGGGGGAGAGTAGGATTGCTCGTGGGCTGGTCCAGTGAAAGGTCGTGGGTTTCGGTCATGCCCACACGTTTTAATGTATTTACATATATATTGAATAATTTTTAATACTATTTAATTAAATATTAATAAACGATCTCATTTTTACGATCGCTGATTGTCGACGATCAATGGTCAACATTCGTCCAGGCTGAATTTTTGTGCTAGATCTGCCATTGTTTGTGAACCCTATCTAGGAGGTGTGGATTTAGAAAGTTAGGCCGGGCCAAAGGCTGAATACCATGTTACTTTGGCAAAGGTATCAAATAGAATGAACTGAATGAGCCTTCTCCATCAACAGAAGTGCAGCTGGACTCGACTTGTCCCATGAGCTCACCAAATTTCTAAATTGCACATCTTTCTTTATTTGGTGAGCCATTGAGCATCTTGTGTGGCCAAAACATTGCTCAGCTCACGTCAATGACTCGTCCCACTTAACATTCTTATCTTTAAACATATATACACACAACACACCAAATTTGATAAAAGAATTTAAGCTAAAATATGAATACACGTATGAGCGACAATTTAAAATCAAACACGGGCTAATTGTACGGCGACTTTTAGCCAAATTTTTGGTACATCAAAAAAATGGCAAGAGCTCTTGAAAGTCCTTTCCATTCAATTAATATATTTAAGTTTAAAGAGTTCAATTAATGCGTAAGAGTATAAAATCTGAGGAAAATGCAAGTTCATAACACCCTAGTTTTAAGAAATAAGACATTTTTTGTACAAAAGCAGCCTGAATTAAACAAGATTAATAAAAACGTGCATGTGATACAATTTTCCTCTTAATTATGATGTCTAATTTTATTAATTTAATGTACTAAATAAAATAGATGGCGTGCATTGTAGGTATGACTTGAGGAAATGCATTGATCGTGCATGAACTTCAAGGAGTCGTGAGTTGTTTGGTCTTTGTTCTAGAAATACGATTAGATCAGATGGTTTATATTCAATACGAACCAAGATAAAAGAAATAAGTGAAACGAAAAATATTAACAGAGTCAACGAATCCCATAAAATGAGAAAATCGTACCGATTGATTTGGAACGATGGTAACCTTCTGATTCGCAAATCTATCTTTAGCTCAATTGAATATACACTAAAGGCTCGTTCTCTTTGCCATTTTCAAATCGTTTTCTATTTTTGATTTTTCAAAACAATGAAAACGTGTTCTCTTTCCTATTTTCGAAAACTCGTTTTTGAAAACAAGTTAAAAATTTAAAAAAAAAAAAATCTAAAATTTGTCATTTTTGGTGTTTTCAGTTATAATCAAGTTAAAATTTTCAAAACACGTTTTGGATGTTTTCAAAACAATTTTTCAAAATGTCAAAAAGAACATATTTTCAACAATTTCAAAATGGACACTCAAAACACAAAATCCAAAATGAATTCAAAACACAAAGAGAACAGCCTATAATTTGTTAAAACTCATTTTTTCTTAAACTTATTTTCAATTATACATTTCATGTAATTCACAACTTTTATTAAATATTCAACTGCACATTTCATTATTTTTTATCAAAATCTATTAAAATTTTGATTCTTAGCTAAACCAAACATGAATTAAATATAACAATAGAATTTAGCTAAATGAACTTCATGACTTTATGAATTTTTTTGTGTTAGAAAGTGACGAAAGAAGAAGAAACTAAAATTTAGCCTCCCATTTGATTTCTTTTAATTTATTTTACATTGGCTCCGTTTGGGAGGGCTTAAAATCCAATTAAAATTGAAAATATGGCCGTTATTGGATCCCACCCGTCTAATAAAAGTCAACAATAATGACTATATTTTCAATTTTAATCTGATTTTAATCCCTCCCAAACAAGCTCATTATTTTTCATATTCATTTTAAATTACAAATTCACAAAATAAAATATTCTAAACATAAATTCAAAATATTTTCTTATTTTTTAATAACACGTTTTTCAAAATATACTATTCAAAACATTTTTTTTTTAATTTTAAAAGGCCACCGAACAAGGGTTTAATGTGCCAAAGATAAATAAAAATTAGAATTAAGGAAGAAGGGAGGACAAAAATGAATAATAGAAGTAAAAAATAGATAAAAATACAGTTCACGGCTGCAGATATGGCCCAGAAAAATGTCACGGGCGAGACTGTAACAGTATATAGACAAAATAATTCTATTAAAATAATAAAAAAAAGTCAAGAAAAATAGGTTTGTAGCCTGTCCCTCTTCATATTTCGTGGTTGTAATTTTTTCAAAGGTCTATTTATTAAAAATTAAAAATAAAATTGCAAGGCTGGCGTAGCAGTAAAATTATCCGTACAAGAAGCATAACTAACAGTACAACAAAATCTCATCTTTTACTCTCGTCCACATAAAAGATTCATTCATGTCATTATCTCCTAGCCACTCAATTTTATTCTATAATCAAGATTTAAAAAAATAATGACATTTTACAACAAATTGATTTGAACATGAATTTTAATTTATTGGACAAATTTTATGTTGACTCCATAGTCAACTAGATTGGTGCCGAGCATTATCGATATTAAACAACATTATTATATTTAAAAATGGGTAAAGTATCTGTCCAAAAACAAAGGAAGGGATAACAAAGTCAGAGATCGTACAATAATCGAATTAGTGATAAAAAAAAAAAAAAGAAGCACGAACGAACTAGTTCATAAGTGATTTTAATATACTTTAAATTCTCTATTATTTGCCTATTAGAGGATCAGTCTAGAGAGGTTCTTAATATTTTTTATTGAACCCAATGGTTCAAGTTCAATCCCTTTTTTCTTCTTCTTTTGGGTTTGTAAATTATGTCAAGTTGTGCTTATAAATTATTTAAAATTATTCTTGGGGTACAGAAGGGATTTCACGTAATTCCTCCAGAAAACACTTAGTGTGTGTGTGTTCTGGAGGGAACTGTCCAATTATTTAAGTAAAACGAGTAAACCCAGCTCATAACCCCCCCACCCCACCCCACCCCACCCCACCCCCCCCCCACCAACACTTATTGTGTGTGTTCTGGAGGGAACTGTGAAATCCCTCGTGTACACCAAGAATAATCCAATTATTTAAGTACAACGAGTAAAGCTACATTTGAGAATAACATATTTATGCAAAAAGTTAAGTTTAAAAATCATGTTCAAATGTGTTTAAATTATAAGTAGTTTTTGTTAATCCCGTTCTTCATTTGTACATTTTGTATGACTTACAAGTGCGTTCACTAATCAATTACTTATTCTTATCTATTTATAATTTAGCCCCTGCTTGATTTCTTTTAAAATCTAATTAAAATCTCAAGTCAAAGCGAATAATTAATTTTAACAAAGCATTTTATGATATCCACAACTTTTCAACAATTTTTATCAAAATCTACTAAAAATATGATTTTAATCTGCACTAAAATTAAGCATATCCAAACATGTGTAACACAATATCAAAAAAATAATGAAAAATGGTATGTAAAATGTTATTATAAGTAGTATGCTAACTTCTATGACATGAAAATTGGCATGTCCACGTGAACTATCAAACAAATTCACTAAACCAGTGATTTCCAGAGTTGTAGAAACTGTAAAATAAAACATACGGGAAAATGTACAAAATATAAAGTTATAAATGGGATAGAATTGTGCAAATATATGCAGAGAGAGAGAGAGAGAAGAAAGAGAGGCAAAATTCTTCAATGAAGAAACAAGGTTGTGAGATTGAAGCAATAGGCATAAACTACAGAGTATGCACACAGAAAGGACAGATTTTTGGAACAAAACAATCAGAAATCAACAAGAAATCAATCCGGCAAGTGCTTCAAGATGTTAGTTGTCGAGCAAAACCATGGGAAATTCTTGCCGTTGTTGGCCCTAGTGGCGCCGGAAAATCCTCATTGCTAGAAATCCTCGCCGGGAAACTTACGCCACAATCTGCATCCATTTATGTTGATCAAAACCCGTTTGATAAAACCCATTTCAAGAAGATATCAGGCTATGTTACACAAAAGGATAAGTTATTTCCACTCCTTACGGTTGAAGAAACCTTGAAATTCAGTGCAAAGCTCCGGCTAAAGCTGCCGGAATCGCAGCTGGGTTCAAAGGTCAAGTGTTTGATTCAAGAACTGGGTTTGAGTCATGTTGCCGGAGCACGAGTCGGTGATGACCGAATCAGGGGGATTTCTGGCGGAGAGAGGCGGCGTGTCTCCATCGGTGTTGAGGTTATGTTAACCAATTCATTTAAAATCTGTAGACTTACAGATGAATTGCAAGTATTTATTTAAATTCTGTCTTTGCTCTGCATTCATGTTTCTTTTTATTGAAGTTGGTGCATATTCATAAATGGATAACACATCAAGTCCTGCCTCTGTTTGTAAAATTTATATTAGTTACTTACACAAAGTCTGACTTTAACCGAATTTATAAATTATTATCTAAATTGTGTGTAAATCTCGTCTTGGACAGGTTATACATGAGCCCAAAGTGCTGATTCTAGATGAACCAACTTCAGGACTTGACAGTACTTCTGCACTTCAGATCATTGATATGCTTAAATCTATGGCAGAAATCCAGGGCCGGACCATAATTCTCAGCATTCACCAGCCCGGATTTCGAATTGTAAAACTATTCAACTCTATTCTGTTGTTGGCTAATGGCTCAGTTTTACACCACGGCTCGGTGGATTCATTAGGCCTCAATTTGAGCTTGATGAGATTGCACCTTCCTCTTCATGTCAATGTTCTTGAATTTGCTATAGAATCCATTGAGATGATCCAACAGTACCAAGTCAAGAAAGGAAATGAAGATGAAAGTAGAAGTGGTAAGTTCACCCTACTACAGTCCGTTTGGCAAGGCTCTTGAAAAGTTAAAGATGCATACTATTGGAACTGTTTAGGTTAATATTTAAAAATGCTTTATTTGGTTAGAAGAGCTTTTGGAAGAAACCGACCCTACATAAGCCCTCGAGAAGTTCTTCTATAAATAGAAGAAGCTATCCGAACGTGCCCATCTGTTACAACCATTTACGTGCAAGATGGCTGCCTTATTCTTTTTAGACAAATCACATGTTTTTGTTGCACCGGTTCCTAGAATATAAACTCGTACCTTAACTGCTCGTGTTTGACACCCATTTTGGGAAAAGAATAGATTTTGGAATAGTGATTGATGGAAGAATGTGTGGTTAAAAAGTAAGAAGAATTTTTGGGTTTATGTATAATATTATTTTATTGATAGAATATCTGGTTGAAATGAAGAAAGAGAAATAGAATGGATGTCAAACGAGGGTAGCAAGTTTTTTTGACTACGTTGTTATCTAACTGTAATTTTCTCAACAGGTTTTCAAGGTGGAACCGATGGTAAATTGACACTACAACAACTCTTTCGACAAGCCAAGGTTATAGAAGAGGACTCTATTGATGTCAAAACTAATATTCCTTATGATTTTGCTAATTCTAGATTGAAAGAAATCATAATTCTCACAGACAGATTCTTGAAAAACATTTGTCGAACAAAGGAACTATTCGCTTATAGGACTCTCCAAATGCTGATTTCTGGGCTTGTTCTGGGATCTGTCTTTTACAATCTTAAGAATGATTTAGTTGGCTCTGAGGAAAAAGTCGGATTATTCGCATTCATCTCAACATTTTTGTTGTCAAGTACAACAGAAGCATTGCCTATATTCTTGCAAGAACAAGAAATCTTAAAGAATGAAACCTCTTGTGGAAGCTATAGGGTATCATCCTACGCAATAGCAAATGCTATTGTGTACATGCCATTTCTGCTGATTCTTGCAGTATTATTCTCTGTACCGTTATATTGGTTGGTGGGATTGAACTCTAGTTTTTTGGCTTTCTTTCGTTTCTTGACGCTGATTTGGTTAATTCTGTACACTGCAAATTCAGTTGTGGTATGTTTCAGTGCTCTCGTCCCGGATTTCATCATGGGGAACTCAGTGATCTCGGCCGTTATGGGCTCGTTCTTTCTGTTCTCTGGCTACTTCATATCAAAGAATGGGATACCAAATTACTGGATTTTCATGCACTATATTTCTCTGTTTAAGTATCCATTTGAAGGGCTGTTGGTAAATGAGTTTTCCAGTTCTGGGAAGTGTTTGGAATTCATGTTTGGAGAATGTGTGGTGAGTGGTGAAGATTTACTCAGAGAAGAAGGCTATGGAGATGGGGAAAGTGGATGGAGAAATTATGTTATAATTGTCTGTTTCATTTCAGTTTACAGGTTTATTTCCTTTCTTATTCTTAGGTGTAGATGCTCTCAGGAAGGAATCCTCATTTGAACATAGTTACCAGACGTTTGATTGTACTTAAAAGCTACTTTTTTTTAGTTGCGTCACAAATATTTTAAGTAATCGGTGAGTTCTTTTAATTACAAAGTTCAATTGCATGTCCAGTTTATTTTGTCGAATATTCTTTACTAAATATGCACTTGTATTTAACTATCACGTGAAAGAGGATGTCATTAGCAAGAATGATGTCTGAAGTTTTCTTCGTAAAATACTAGAATGATCAATGATGTACAAAGTTTTCGTCGCAAAATTGTGACGACATTTTCGACAAAATTATATATTCGCTAACTTCTCATGAATTTTTGAGTCGCTTATTTTTCATTCCTCAATATTTTTCACAGGATTCAAAAAAAAAAAGTGTAAATTATGTATTCAACTAATATATTAGGGGTTATTTGAGCCATATTATTTTGGAAGAATATATTTTGGAATTGTAGATTGATAGAGAATGTGTGGTTGAAAAGAAGGAAAACTTATTGATGTGATACAAAATATTATTTTATTGAAAAATGTGTTGTTGAAAATGAGTAGAAAAATGAGAATGAAAATTTTAACATGGGCTAGATCTTGGAATATTCAATTATTAGTTAAAAAAAATAGCAAATAGATATTTTTTGGATCATGATCGATTCGAGGCATCATTGATTTGAGTACAATAAGAATCTGGTGGGGGACTTGCCCTCGCATTATTGTAAAGAAATCTTACAAAACAGGACGATGTTATCCACAAATTAGGTCTATTATGTATGATATAGAGTATTTGTGGACTCAAGATGATATTATTTTTTTTGAGGTTGGTGAAAGAGTCCAAGATGGGTGAAAATGAGGTGGGTCGCATAGCATATTTGACTTGATTTAGAGGTGTTTAATGGGGGACGAGCGACAATGAGTTGCAAATTTGGAATGATTTAGAAGTATTATTAAATGGTGCGAGCCGAGCTGGCTCGCAAGCCGCTCGTAGCTTGCTATATATATACAGAAATGATCTAATGAGCACCGGTGC